GAGTCGCCTCTCATGATAAAATGTGACAGAGGCTCGTCTACGCGTGCATGTATTGCTGTAGTCGGAGAAGATAGCCCTACAGACGGTACTGCAGTAGACTTATTTCTTTGGGTGCAGCAGGTTTACTAAGGCCTTGGCCTATTAGACGTGATATTTTCATACCACCGTCGTAAGGAAATGTCGCTTGATTGATCTTAAATCTTAAACATGTTAGGCAGATGTCGCTTTTGGCCGCAGCATGTCAGACGGAACTTTCCATCGCCCCATATTTATCCCCTCTCAGCCCTTTCACGTGTCGCCTACCGCGATTTCTGCCATCCCTCTCAACTTTGTATTTCAAGCTTATTATTCTTTGTCAGCTTAACTACTTTGCGTCGTTACCGTCTTTTACCACTTTACCACTTCGCAACCATCTGATGTCGCTGAGCTCTTCTCATGCCAGACACCCCTTCCTCTATATGTACTCGGTGCCAACGACCTTGGAGTTCTGGAATTTCGGGTTCTTACCGGACTTGCTCCGATTGCGGGGCAAAAGATGCTGCTCGCAAGATTCGGAAGAAGCACTCCCAACTGTCCGGTCCTGGTTCACTGAATGCACAGAATTCCCCTGCTCAATCTGCGCCGACGCCAATTTCCCCGCCGATTTCTCAATCCATTTCTCAGGTTCAGCAAGTTGAACTGCCTCCTGATCCACCCTAATCTCAGTGCACTGAATGCAAGCGACCATATCCGCTATTCATCGGACATGCCACCATTGCCGCAAAATCCAATCCACCGCTCGCCGTCGCAATCGTCTCACTGCTTCTTCGACCATAGAAGGCCCCTCAACTTGCTCGACCTGCCGAAGACCATGGACTTCAGCGCTGTTCCGGACATGTGATGATTGTCGAATTCGCCTCGCTATGCGTCGTAGTCAGCCTTCAGCCGCCGACACAACCCAGCGCCTACAGAACAACCGCGGCATCCTTAGCGCTGCCTCGAAAACTGAAAACCCACCAGTCGAGGTAACTTTCCTTTTTCCTTTCTTTCGTCGAGCCCTCTACATATACGAAGACACTGTACAGTATGCTGAGGTTTTCTTAGACTCATCCCCGAAGATCCAGGTCAAGAAGTCCCCGAATTCGTTGTAGTCCAGCTTCGGACACTTTGCCTTTGCCGTTACCTCCTGCAAATGAAGAGACGATGCTCTCCAACATTCCAAGCTCTGTGTCGCATACATCTGAACATGATTATTGGTGGCCTCAGCTGAGGCGTCTTCGCGTGCGACCATTCCGCCAAGCCTGGACCGGCTGCTGCAACTTCTGCTCAGCTGTCCTTTTGTCCACTGAGAAATCAGGCTGGTGTTGTGTAAACGGCAGTCGAATGGCCTCTAAGCTCCGACCGTACCCACCGCACTTTCAAAGTTGGATTGACACCACGACCTTGCCACTATCAGCTATCAGCCGCCGCTTGAATTACCTTTTCGCTTTCTCTGCGATTGGAGCTTCCGAAGGGTTTTTCCATTTTGGCGTGCCAGCTGACGTCGTTGTCTCGGGTCGGATATATCATCGACTGCTTAACTCATCCAACAGTGATCACAGCCTGCGTTGGCTTCTGTATGATGAAGACGCCCGGTCCCAAAAGGCCGCGAATACGAATGTGCCGTTTGCTGCCGTTCAGCAAGCAAAGCGGTTACTCCAGGCCGTCAATTCATACCTTTCTACAATCTGCCACGCTTTACAGCAGGTCCCTAGTGACGCAACACCGTTGGCTGTGGAGCTCAAAGATTTGTCTCCAAGTGGTGAAATTGCGGCCGTTATCAACACGCAGAGTCTCAGCACTGTCGACGGCTCTTAAGTAGTTAATAATAAGGAAGTAGTTGGGAGTAATTATATCGACCTTATCTTTACCGAATTAGTAGCAGGAGCTACGTCGGAAAATCTAATTACCGTCGGCCAGCCTCGTAAAATTCCGAATACCTACGTTAGCTTCTTTTTAATTTAAAAGCCTATGATCTACGCTAATTCGGAAAGGGGCCTTTGCGAGGCCCAGAAGTTAATATAAAGAAGTTCGAACCGTAAGAGCCCTCAATTGCGTATATTCTTAAGACTCATCTCGACTAGCGTAGGGAGTTCGTGAACTACTTACTATATTAAGTAATTTTTCTCATACAGGTACGCATTCGTTTAGTAGTGCGCTTTATTTTTGATTGCCAGCGAAATAAGTAAGGACCATCTATTTCATGTATAATTCTTAAGCTTTCGGTGTGTCGTTGGACTCTTAAACCCATCGTTTTACCCCCGTGCATTCCTCTGCCTCTTTGGGACCTCGCTTGCTGGACTGGTACGCCTGCGTTTGCCACGAGAAATTGTTGCGGTGGATGTGTGATTCACCTCAGCAGGGACAGCGTTCTGAGGCAACTTGGCTTCAATTCGGGCGAGCGTAGCGCGAATCGCAGATATTTCCTGGACCATCAACTTCATACGCTCCTCAATAGCGGTGCCGGCAGCATCAGTTGGGCCACCTTCTCTTCCGCGGTTGCTGGCTGTCCCAGCCACAGAGGCATCGTCGTCGGTATCAGCAAAGCCATCGGCGATAGAATCAGTGGCAACGGCCCCAATAGCACCGTCATTGCTGGTGCTATCTTTGCTGTCGTCGATGTCCTCAGTATCGGCACCCTCAGTGCCTTCGTCGTCGTTGGCTTTCCCACCGCTAGCCCGGCTGTCGTCGCGATCGAAGTCGGATTTTTCGTCTGTGTCTTCTTCTGAGTCGTCGTCACTGCTAATAACGATAGCATCATCTTCGGGAACTGAGCAGCTTGCCGGAGTCGACTTGTAGAATGTCATTATTCCGAAGCATGTGTGGATGAGGAACGAGAATGAGAGTTGGCAGCTGTAAGGGAAAAAGTTGCCATTTATGTACTTTTGGGCTCGGAGAGACTGTCTGTCCGACTTCTTGGTCCAAGGTATCGGCCCCTGGAGCCATACCTGTCATGCAGGGAGTGAACGTTGGAAAGGATCCATCCTCGCGGTCAAGAGGTGCGGCTAATCAACGAACCTCGGACAACCCAGCAAACATACGTATTGCGCCATCTTGTTCCCATGGGTAGCGGCCTCTGTTCTTGCTATGGGCGGCCTCCGTCTCTCCTGGTGCTGATATTTCTCTCTTTATCTCATCGTGGCTGGACTTGGTAAGCTCGCTTGGCCCCTCTCGATTTCCAGCTGTAGTAGCTGGTGCTTCGTGACAAAGGTTCTTTTCGCTCGACTATCATGCTCAGTTTAATGCTGACATATTCCTTGCGAGTCGGTAGAGAGAATTTCACATCGACAGGACCGTCTCTGCCATCATGCTCAAAGAAGCATTTAAAGCTCATCTGATCCCCATTCATAGACACAACAACCTGAAACGGTGTGATAGATAGCAGATATTCCTTATCGCTTCCGTAAAAGGAACAGCTATCTCCTTCACTTTATGAATCATCTAACGGTGTCTACCGTTGCGATTTCACGCCGGAGCACCAAGTGGGCGTAGCGTCGCTATCGTCATGAATGCTATCATAAAACTCGTAGCTCGTCTCAAAAGGACTTCTCTGCGGGCAGCTGTTGTAGTGAAAATTCTGGTGGTGAGAGGGTGGTCCAGGGGTCCGATCTTGGGATTGCGACCCCTGAGAGTCGGTAAGGGACCTAGGGCTTTCCAAATTTGAACAGACAGCGTTGGAAAAGTACTCCCACAGCATCGGTGTGGCTTGTCTATGAGAACTCGACAAGCATCGTGGTGAGCTTTCTAAGGGTTTCGAGCCGTCTATCTGACTCGTCTGAGAAGAGGTTATCACCATAGCTGGCAATGGAGAGCGAGTGCTGCCGAGGGTGCCGCCATAGGTATAGATAAGGGCGGGAATATCATCTCCTTATCTTACCACCGACGGCCCGTGGCCTGTCAAATACCTCTCATTGGCGTCTGAGATGGCTGGCTAACAAGTCCTTCCTTGCATTCAATGCCGCGGTATGCGTTGCGGCACTTTGCCTATTTTCTTCAAAATACCATAATAGCAAGCCCCCTGGCCACTGTCACGCCTCCAACGCATAGCTCCTCTTCATGTAGGTGTGTCTGT